CCTAGAAAAATACATGTGTGAGATATCAACCTAGCAGGACACATGTAAGTAATATCAATCTAGCAGGACACATGCATGTGATATCAACCTAGTAGGACACATGTCAGTGATATCAACCTATCAGGACACATGTCAGAGCTATCAACCTAGCAACACTTACCACAGTTATATCAACCTAGCAGGCCACGTGTCAGTGTCAGCGAGATCAACCTAGCAGACCACATGTCAGTGATATCAACCTAGCAGGACACATGTCAGTTATATCAACCTAACAGGCCACATGCCAGTGATATCAACCTAGCAGGACACATGTCAGTGATATCAACCCAGCAGGACACATGTCAGAGATATCAACCTAGCAGGACGATTGTCAGTGATATGAACCTAGCTGGACACATGTTAATGATATCAACCTAGCAGGACACATATCGGAGATATCAACCTAGCAGAACACATGTTAGTGAAATCAACATAGCCGGATACGTCAGTGATATTAACATAGCAGGACTTATGTCAGTGATATTAATCTAACAGAACCATTTATGTTTTGGTTCTTATTTCAAAATGCAGCTTGAATGGGGAGAAAGTAGCAAATACCAGTTTTAATGTCTGGTTTGATCCTTTTAAATGCAACTCCAGACGAGCACGCTTCCAGAATACCACAGAAAAGATTGACAACTATTAAATAAGCTTTTAATTTACGTCTACAATGTAGCATTACAAATACGTCAAACGTTACTAATCTGTAATGTATTTATTATGAACAGATTGTAACTGTCTAAAATCTACTGGTCCCCTTTTACTATCATTCCTATAAGTTATTAATCTGTAATGTATTTATTACAAACAGATTGTAACTGTCTAAAATCTACTGTTCCCCTTTTACAATCATTCCTATACGGATATGTTTGTGACGTACCATGAGTTGTAAATACTTTATGAATTGTAAATTCGACCGAGTATCGTCAAATTATCTGTCAACTAGCCATAATAGTTCGCATACTTATTGTATTTACATCACTCAAACATGTGCTACTCGTATTTGATATTTGCAATCTTTTACTTTAAATTGTCTTATAATAGGTACATAACATAATATGTATAATTTCACATATCATATATCATACAAAGACATGATAATATATTTTTTTTAAATATAATTTGAGGCTGGGGTAATAAGATATCAGTCCGACCTGCATATTTTGATGAAAGCTATATTGAGTGTTACAGTTTGGGAAATCAGTTTCGGGTTTGATTTCAAGGGGGGAGGGTATGACTTACATCACAACCAAAACAATAACAATTTCATTTGGTTCATTATTGCTATCAAAACAAATTGATTACATTTGTTTACCATGAGTAAGAACGCTCATATTCCGAATTATCTATATTCTAATCTGCGTAAAACACATTTTAAAGAACTAGCATCCGATAAATTCCCTCTACATCTATGTTTTTGCTAGTAATTTCCGATGCAACATTAAACTTCTACGTAACTTATCTCAAATTGTTTTCCATGAAAAGCGATTTGATTATGTAGAAATAATACTTAAACTATAATGAAAAGAAGTCATCAGCAATGTACATAATTCTTAAAATTAATCTTAACTCATCATTTTAGGAAAAGAAGAGTAAAATATGTAATGTTCACTGGGGCTTCCCATTTCTAAAAAAAATCCTTAATCTTCTACAAAAAGACTACCAGTGACCATTTCGTTGGAAAACAATGTATAAAACCAGTGGAATATCGTATACAGATGTTAGATGTATCCCCACCATTGTCTGTGTTCTGGATACATCTATTAATGTTTTGAAATTACTTGTATTTTTTTTTAAATTAGCTTATTGTGAATAACGATCGGAATTGTTTTTATTAGAAATCAGATTTACCAAGTTGTAAAGGTCATTTTTTGAAGGATCAACATCACCATGGACAAAAGAAACAAAACCAATATACATTAATTAGTTCAAAATACAAAATAAAGAAAACTATATATGGGATAGAGAACATAAAACTCTGTCTAAATCGGAGATGAAACGATTCATATCACTTCTATATCAAGAAAACTTAAATCACATCTCTTTTCTGCAATAAACTGCCTTTAATTATAGGGTTCTAAGAATTTCATGAACTCTTGTAACAGATAACACTGCTAGTCATTTCAAGGAAAATTGATTTAAATAGATAACCATAACAACAAAATTTCTGCTAATATTTTTCGCTGTCAGTTTTAAATTCCGAATCGGTTTTCATAATGCTTGTGTTTCTATTCCGCCAAACGCATTACTATTTTATTGTAAGGATTGCGAAACTTCCAGAATCACTTTAATGAATATTTACATTTGTTTTTATTTATCAATTACAAATAACATGAATAAGAAAGTATAGTAATGATGTATCGTTAATCTAACAATATAAATGCACAACTAATATGGTTGTGTCCAAAAACCTAAATCTTGATATTCTAACTTTTTATTTCAATTGGAATTTTTTTCTGAAATTTTCGGTGAGAAAAATGAAAAAAAAATAACCTTGGAACAGAAGCCTTAACAATCAAGTGGTGTCGACACTAGCTTCCTTCTCCTTTATCTGATCGTACTTAGTCAGGAATAAGCGAGTTGAATTCTAGTTTTTTGTTATTCCTTTGGAAACCAATTCTGCTCCTGTTTTCGTCGATTTGTTCCAATTCGAGTTCACATCTCGCTTTGTTGGAGTTCGTATTTCTCAAACTGATGTTTTCTGTGTGACTGTTGTCCCTCTTTTTTCGTTTAGTCATTGAGTACTAGTCTGTCCCTTTTCGTATACCTGGAAGTTTCTACTGTTATTATTATTCATCTTCGTTTCATGATGACATCCAATTCACCAGTTCAGGCAATATGCACAATTGGCGCTTTAAAGTATTAATTCAAAACAATAACATATTTATGGAAACTAATCGCCTTTCTATTCGTTGAAGCAGCAAATTCTCTTTCTCAGAACAACAACACCTTATTTCAATTCAATTGGAATAAGGATACGTGTGAAAATTTAGAAATACTAGCATTCTTTATTTTGGTTAGACTAACAGAAACAGCTGTTGGAATTACTCTGTTCCCTTTGAGAATTCAAAACTTTAACATTGTATGCGAAATTTCCGATGAAAATGTAACATAATACTCAATGCATATTTTATGTCTTCCTATAACTAATCCAAAACAGTTTTCCGAGAAGTCTGCAGTCTGTTTCTATAACAACCTAAACGAACAAAACAAGACTAGTCTTTCAAATGAGTAATCGTGTTCTTATACTCAGCAAAGATTCAAAAATAGAAACCGCAAAGGAACTGCATCGATCATATGGCGTCTATGGCTAACTCAGGGGCTCAAAAATGGTCAAATATGTACGGTATACAGATTTGTCAATGCTTACTATCAATGTTCAACTTTGATAGAAAGTAGAGATGAAGAGATAACCAGATGTATTGTTTACCCCAAAATGTTTATTTTTTTTTTCTTCAAATTTTATATCTGTAGTAACGATGAAACAAATTTGTGGGCGTCATCAATAATGATTAGGAAAGATTATCATTTATGTGTCATCTTCCTGGTTAAGCTTGGTAACATGGCCTTCACCGTATTTTTCAAATTATTTTTTTCATTTTCATTTTTTTATCTTATTTCTTTATTTGCTTAAAAAAGATAATCTCCATGTTTCACCATCGATAAATCGTACAGTCTTCGCCAGTATATCATTTTCTCAATGTCCGACCACGGGGGAGAGACACTTGCGTACAAATATATCAGTCAAATATGGAAGAATGAAAAAAAAATTTGCTCCAGATGTTATCTCTGGATCATGACGCATCTTCTGTTTCAGTTTCATACAATTCTATGATGTGTGAAAAAATTATTGATGTATAAAAAAACTTCAACCATAAACTGTAAACCGAAATGTTACCCTTTTTAACCCCCCCCCCCCCCCAAAAAAAAAAAAAAAACGAACAACAAAAAAACCGCTAAAAAACAAGTAAATTTATTAGTAAACTGAAAAGAAGATTATGCATCAAAACTTTACTTCGATTATTATTTCTTTATCATAAAAAAGCTCTCTTTCAAGATTAATAATACTCTATGAAGGTTTGACAAAGTTATTGGTGTCTAAAAACTTAACCTTTAGACTATATCTATACTCTTACTGTTAAAAAAAATGTAAATCCATCTTTCCGGTATCACAGGCGAGACAAAAAGCAAACTAGTCTGAATGGAAAGATTTTATTGAGTGGAATTTTCATAGATTTTACTACTATGTTCTTTTTTAAGAACTTAAAGGGGGAAGGGAATGGTACATCACATAATTTTTTAAACAAGCAACCAGTGTCAATAACATTAACGGTAATAAATTACTGCAGCGGATGCACATAAAGATTATTAATGTCTGGTCAGTGGTGCTCAAGGCCAAAGTATTTATAAATTAAAAACTTATTCAACATTTAAACAGCTGATATAACCGAAAAGGACGCAAAACGTACAAGGAATCAGCTATGTATGACAATTGTGGTCAAATGTAGTTCCAATTGACCAATTTGTTTCTAAGGAGAAACTCTTGAAAAGTTTAAGACCAACACATAATGATAAGAATTATAGCTAAAACTAGCCGTTAAATACCAGTGATCGAAAAAATGATTCAATTAATGACTTTAACAAATATAAACAGACATTTAAAAAGTCATAGTTACATTACAACAATGAATGTAAAAACGTGCGATATCAATGCATCTAATGCCGGAATGTATAATTTTTATTGTTTGTTTACCTGCGGTTTACCTTTAAAGTAATTAATTCATTGAACATCCGTTATAAATTGAATTCCATAAATAACAGTTGATACGACCTACTACAATAAATTCACGGAAAGACTTTCTATCAGTAAATGACATTAACTATTCTGTGATTTGATTGGATAAACGTACCCACCCATTGATCTAATTATAGATTTGATATAAAATGCAATCGAAAATATGATTTCCATTAGTTTTACCTGATACATATGTTAAGTGAAGAAGTATATTTTACCTGTGAAAATGAAAATGGAACAAAATTGTATACAATGTGTAATAGTTGGAGATGGAATGGTTGGGAAATCACACTTAGCAAAATGTTTTGTGGGACAATCTTTGCAGGAAGATTATATTGCTACAGTTTTTGAAAATTATGCAGGTAGGAATTGTTTTATTATTGCTTAGCATGAATAGCATTTGGAAACATGACTTGAATTTACCACTATGCATGCTGTAAGTTCAATACATTGTTACGTGAATATGAACTATAAAACGAAAACTACACTTTAACACTCAAACCAAAAATAGTGAAAGCCAAGGGTGTATAACTAATTGAATTCGTGGGGAGTTTATGAGAGCTTATGACCAAAAAGGACCTTAAAAAATAAAAAAAAACATCTAAGGTCAACTTTGATTGAGGGAGTTGGAACTTTACTTATTTTAAAGTTTCTAAATTTCTGAATTTCTAAACTGCAAATTTAACTTATAAATCATGACAGTACCGAAGCACGAACTAACTTAGCTGATGGTACTTTCGGGGACTAGCAGTCTGTATCCACTCAGTGCTATAAATTGATATTTATAATGCAGTGAAAAGCAAACTTCTATTTCTTTTGTTTTAAATGCACTACAAGCAACATAATTCTACAACAAAACCAAAATGTGTTTTCGACGAAGACACAAAAACATTCAGTCACACTTAAAACAAGCAATTACATTGTGTATCTTTAAACCAATGAAAACTACATTGAAGACATAAATATAATACTAGTTTTCCTTGTCATAACTTACGTACTTTTGAAATGATTTGTTATTTGTTATTTGTTTATACTTAATTATTTGTTTATTATACTTAATGTTTTGTTGAATATTTCAGGAACAATAGCAGTTGCCGGTAGTAAATATACGATTGGTATTTTTGATTCAGCAGGACAAGTAAGTATATATATTTACTCTGAAGAAGCAAAATATCAAAATTTTCTATCTTATATATGCTATATCTGATATATGCTATATAACTTAACGTATAGAGATAGAAAAAATATGGGACAACTCGTAAATTAACTCGAGACTACTGCATCATGAAATTATGGGAATGAAATTTCCGAGATGAAAACATCTCGTTTATAATTCAATTGTATGTGTGCCTTAAAATATGGTTAAATACAAAGAAAACACAGAGAAAAGACAAAATTTTGCAATAAATTTAGAAAAAAATGTAAGTAAAAATACTGTTGGACAAACAAAACAGCTATTTTTACAAAACAATATCACAAAGACAAACCAATATACAAACATTAATTGTAACGGCTGTCAGATGTTTCAGATAGTTTAACCCAAAGTGAGATTTTAGATATACTATAAATACTTATTTCTCCGAAAAAAAAAATCATTATGTATTTCCCATATGCGTATTTTTAATGTGGATGAATAAACAATCTCATTAATGTGAATTTTACAAGTGTTTCCTTATTCATATTTCCTGAGCCACGTAACACAATAGTATAACCTAGTTAAGTATGTGATGTAATTTTCAGAAAAATTAATAAAAGGTTAAAGTTCAATTTAACCCTATGACTGTCAACTGATTATTATCTACAGTCCGGTTTAGATAATTTGGGCTTTCCCGGTATGGGAGTCCACTTGATAGTAAGGACAAATAGAAAGCCGAACTGATATCACTTTATAATATATATACACACATACAAGGTCAAATTCTTTTACTTATCGTCTGGGTAAACCAATACGGGACACACTGCCTAAATTACGTAATCAGTATTTCTCACTTTATTGATTGACATAAAATTAAATATATTTAATTGTATGTATTGATTCTTTTTTTTTTGTCACAATGTCTTTATTATTATATGCATCTCCTTGTTTTCTTTTTCAGCAAGATTATACAAATCTTCGAGCCTTTAGCTACAGAGACAGCGATGTGTTCATACTGTGCTACAACATAGCTGATAGAGAATCTTTTAAAAACATTAAATCTTTTTGGATACCAGAAATTAAACAGTACAATGTGAAGAAAAGGCCTATTATATTAGTGGCTACTCAAAGTGACACTCGGGATATTTACGAAGACTCTGTGACATCTGATGAAGGTGTTGAATTAGCCAAAGACATAGGAGCAGAATGTTTGATAGAAACATCAGCCATTACAAAAGAGGGTACAACGGAAACCTTCGAAAGGGTAGTCATGTCAGCGTTAAAACATAAAAAGAAAAAGTACAAAATATTCCAGAGACTTTTTAAGAAGTAAAATGGTTGACATCATTGACTTTCTGTTAATTTTTATATAAATTAATAGAAAAACAGACCAACGAAAGTACCTCATGCAATACATATCCGAGTAGTTTTACACAAACTCGAAAAGGCCTTTTTTCGGGAGTGTGCAATAATTTGTGCCAAATACTGTGATACGAGTCCATTCCAATTTGTTTTGTTTTTATTGTTTTACAAAGCTGCTGGTCAGCATATATGTTATATATTTATTGTCAATAAAAATGACTTAATACATCTGTTTAATCGTTTCTCTTTATATCAATAACCTTTTATAACCTCTCTTGGTACCTACTTTAATGAAAATTCCACGGTACTTCCTTCTGTATTTTAGGTAATTCGAAGCGAAATTAAAAGAATGACGAACATTTGTGTTGTATCAGGCTAATGTCATTTTATTCCATAGAGGTTCATTCCTTTTTTGCCATTGAATGAGGATAAGATTTAAGTACATCCGAATTGTCTAGTTTAAAAAAGTCATTGTTTACAAATTTTTAATGATGAAGTTTTGAAAAATGCAACATTGAATATGTTGCTGATGATTAACTGCAGTATTTTCCATGTATCTATGATATCTAGGCCATTGATTTTCCATAAATGGAATATCAAATGTTTCTAAATTTAGTTTTAATATAGATTTAACAAAGGCAGATGCAAGCAATGATTGTTAATTACGTTCAGACAGAATCTGACCTACATCACGTTTCCTTTAACGTGTCCGGAGTTTATTGAATTTCTAAATATGGAGCACGCTTTGTTGAAAGCAACGCATTTTTTGTAAATGAAACCAAACGAGAATTGAGTTTTGTCATTCGAGTAGATTTCGCCAAGCCACGTATTCATCTTACAAGTTTGTTCAATTATTGGAGATACTATTTTACTTGCAATACATTAAAGATATCAATAAACTTGAAGTTAGCCATAGTGTATTTCTATGTTTGACGTAGGAAAGGATTCATAGCAAGTGCCTATTGATCTGATATGATAACATCGCGTGTAATTTTCATATTAATTTCCTCCAATTAAAGGTTGCGAAATGAAATTGCCACTATTACATCAATTGTAGCGGTTGCTATGAGCAGGTACTCAAATTTCATTGATACTTGCATCAGCAAATAATTAATAAAAGGTGTGTTTTGGGAAGAATTTGGATTCCCTAGCAACTATCAATACTCTCTTGTAAGATTTCCATAGCCCTTACCAATTCTACGATTTTTAGACTTATCACGACTAATGATTTGGCCTATCACGTTATACAGGGAATCTAATTCTAAATTCCTCTTTTCTGATTGGAGTAAAAACGTGAACAGACAAATATTTGCCTAAACCTCTAGTGCACAATTTTTGTTTATCTTTAATTAAAACCAATATCTTCTCGAAATAGACACCCAATATAACTTCTCTCAACAGTGTCATCCGAATAATTTCAGCCACATAATTTTGGTGTTGTACTCTCTTTATAGAACCAAAGGCCGCTCTTTCGCTTTAGATAGTAACGTATAAGGCTGCAACAAAAACACATGTCACGTCAATAAGAGAGATACGAACAACAAACGCATACAAAAATAATCACAATGAACCGGTGATCTTATCATAATTTGTGGGAATGATACCAAAAAGAGGGGTGACATACAACCATTAGTCGTAGGATTGGCGACATCAAAGAAATTCGAGGAAGAAATTCTATTTAATCTCAAAGCTGAATAAGAATAGAGCAGCAGCATACATGTAACATTCTTGTCATCAAGAAATGTTCGCAGTTTATGAAAATTTTAAATGCGCGCCACTCGATCTTTGAGAGTAGTTTTCAGAAATTGTTTTAACAAAAACGACAAGAACGGATAAAAATGGTAGTGAAGACACTCCAAATTAATTTGCCATGCTCGCCTAAGAATTCAAATATAAAATTTTAATGTATTGGGTTTTGCTTTCTATAAATTGCTCCTTTTGATCAAATCTGTTATATTTAAATATATGCATATATATGATACTAAACCCCTAACGGGAGGGATTGTACTTGATTTTCATATGATGAAGACATAATCTTTCAATAAGTTTAATTGAGGTCTGGAGCTGGCATGTCAGTAACTGCTAGTAGTCCTTTGTTCATTTATGTATCATTGTCATTTTGCTTAGTTTCTTTTGTTACCTATTCTGACATCGGACTCGGACTTCTTTTGAACTGAATTTTTACTGTGCGTATTGCTATATGTTTGTTTATTCTACATTGGCTAGAGGTATAAGGGGAGGGTTGAGATTTCACAAAACATGTTTAACCCCGCCGCTTTTTTGCGCCTGTCCCAAGTCAGGAGCCTCTGGCCTTTGTTAATCTTGTATGTTTTTTTAATTTTAGTTCATTTACATGTTTTGGATTTTAGTGTGACGTCCATTTTCACTGAACTAGTGCACAATTTCGTTTAGGGGCCAGCTGAGGACCACCTCTGGGTGCGGGATTTTCTCGTTGCGTTGAAGACCTATTGATGGCCTTCGGCTGTTGTCTGCTCTTTGGTCGGGTTGTTGCCTCTTTGACATATTCCCCATTTCCATTCTCAATTTTAATTTACTGATTTTCTACATTAATAAATAGTATAAACGAATAAAATTGGCAATGCGGAAAAGAATGAAAGTAAAGAAACTAGCTCATCCAGTCTTATTTATCTGACACAAAATCCGAAGAACAACCAATTCATAGGCTTACTTGGTGAATATTTGTTTAATCGTAATAATATCTTACACTTTAAAATCCATTGCAAACGCTTTTCTTTTTAATATGTTTTCGAGGTAACGATGGCGCGATGGGGTTAGAACAATCACAGATACCTTATACACACAAGCGTTAACTGTTAGTTTGGAAGGAATAAGGCATACACTTTTGTTCGGATCTTTGGAATGTTAAAGACGACTTCAATTTTGAATATAGCGACATAAGTTTATTATTCCTTGAAAATTTATTGTAGAAAAGTGTTCTAAAGACCATGCAAAATTGGTATATACAAATTATGAGATGTGGTATGGTTGCCAATCAGACAATTTACTGTCTACCAAAAGACCAAATGACAAGGATGTAAACAATTACAGGTAACACTATGGCCTTCTGAAATGAGCAAAACCCGCGTCGTATAGTAAGCCATAAAAGACCCATCAAAATATGCAACAATACAACACAGAAATCCAACACTCTGATTCATGTAAAAAACATCAGACAAAAACAACCATCACAAAAGGCAAACAAAGAAAATCACTGGAAAGGCACATAAATAAAAAGCAACAGTAATTTACCGACGTTCTAATACCATAAGCCCATTCAGAACAAACAAATCAAGGTGAAAAACCCCGAAGGAATAACGTGAGCTTTAAAAGGAGCGAGACAGTTGCCTCCACTGGGTAAACGTCTCCTGCTGTGCACAAATCACCCACCAAGGTGATTTCTAAAGAATAAGGCAGTGTTAAATAATGTTTGAGAGCGTTCAACCTTCCCAAAATCTGAAACAATCGGGTACGACAGGTCAACATAAATATATATATATATATATATATGTATATATATTAAACAACTAACAAAAACACTGAAAGAATTTAATGAAAAGGTAACAAGATCCCTGGTATTAATTCACAAGTTATACCTAGCTTACATATGCAAATACATTCGTAAAAGAAGAAGTTACGGGTATTGACGGTTCATAATTTTGCTATATTCTGGAAATTTTGTTCCACTGTACGTGTTTATTGTAATTTATTTTGTTATTACTATGCCATTGACAGTTGGTACTAATCCTGTTATGCTACTACGTTAAACAAACTTTTTACCTTGGCTAGTATGATTGAGAAGGGAAAAACAAGACAAAGTGTGAATTTTACAAAATATTTAATCATTTCAAGGAAACCCTCTCCATGAAACGACGGTTTTGCAACATTGCAAACAATTTCTTCTGTTACTGTTTTTCAGTTTGTAACCTTGACTTGTTATTCAAGGCGATATCTTATAATTGAAGGACAAATCTCTGATAACATCCATTATAGAAACACCCATAAAGGAAGTGAATGAAGAAATTCTACACCTTATACAAACATTATCTTATAATTAGCATGTTTTTATTACATGTACAGTGTTCCCAAATGCAGACATTGCACATCGATACAATTCATATATGTACATTTGTATATAATAGATATTTCATATTTAATGAATCACCAATGCAGTGATAATTAAAAAATAATAATGAATCATTATGATTATATCAGAGTGTCAATCGTTATATCTAAATGAGCAGTTATTGAAAATTACATTCATCTGCAGTCCAATCTACACACGGGTATAGCCGAAAGACAAACAGAGAAAGAAATGAAACATGCATATAATTATCAATGGTACATAACAAGAAACTTGCAGATAAAGAATTTTAAATTAGTATTCATTTAATATAAAAATTTCTACAGTACTGATTAGCTTTAAGTCTAGCGTCAAATATTTCATGAACACTCAGAACAAACAAAAACAGTGGAATTTGAAAATGGGTAAACAGGATGCTACTAAAATAATGGTTCAAGATTTCCCTTTCATTTCTTAAATATTGTTGCTTAGTATAAACTATTTAAAATATACTCCAAAACGTTTAAAATGCAGGTTATCCTCTGTTATCAAATTATCAGAAGGAGTAGAGGAATATCCCAATCATACTATATATGTAATGCCGACAGCAACTTTTCTTTCTCGTATTTTTGTAATGCGTTATTTGTACGCACTTTCTATAGTTCAGTCAATAATATGATTAATTTATCAGCAAATATGACCGACTTCCTAAAACTGAACTGCACTATCGTAAAAATGCTTTATTTGTTTTCAATTGTTTCCTGATTGGCTGTCTTCAAATATGGTATGAAATTCCGTCATGAAAACTGATGTTACATTACTAAATTATGAGTTTACACCATCATTTCATCAAAGAAGTCCGGGAAATATTGTCACATTATATTTCATCTTGATTCTCTGTAATTCTATTGGATAATTCTGGCACATCGATACGAGTTCATCAACAGTTATTTATCATTGTATGCAATGTTAAATATAGGTGACAAAGATGAAGTACAGAAACCATATTTTAGGATTTTTATCACAGAGAAAGCGGAAGCAATATATTTAGAAGCAATATTTATATAAAAGATATCTGTATATATAGGTCTCAATTACTCACTTACTTATCGTCACCATCCCGAGTGGGACATAAGGCTACCACGAGATAT